ATTAATTCACTTCGCGCGGCCTCCTCCTGTCCTGGCTGAGACCCGCTAGCTGAGACCCGCCAGCTGATAGACTCGTTACCGCCGGCTAAGGCCTATTCTCCAGGCGATCACGCTTTTCTGTAGCATCTAATGGACCCCTATCAAGTGTGATAGAAGCAATATGTAAGTGGTGCCATCTTCACGGCGTCAAATTACTCGAAATTAATATACATTTAAACTCACTCAGTACTGAGGACATTTACTCTGATTTAGGTACAAGTGCACCAAATACGAGTTAACGAGAAGAATTTATTTAAGGAGTAGGTACCTATATTTGAGTGGAAGTGCTCAGTTTTAGTTTAAATATAATCACAAATGAGTAAAATGATCAAAATGCCCAATATTGAGTGAAAATGAACTCAATAATTTCACTTAATGGATTCTCTCCGAATTGCTTTCAATCACACCGATTTTTTTTACAGTGTGTTAACTGCACATTTTCTCAATTTTTAAAAGTTATAATTAAAAAAATTTGTAGCCAGTCGTTTTTCTGAATTTTATAATGCTTTTAAAGATGATTGAACATTTAACATATAAATCTAGCCCAAATATGATTTTTTAAATGGAACACCCTGTATATTGCATATTATTCTTAGAACACTTTCTTGAAATTAGTATAACGTTTACGTGATAGTTTTAATCCCATTGTTGTAAAATTTCTTTTAAAATTATACAAAATCAAATTGTTTTACCTATTTTACGTAAACTAGATTTTGCCTTATTTGTTGATGCCTTTTGCGTATATCTGATTTTCTTCAGTATGACACACTAAACTTGCTCCTTGCTAACCCTCAGAAAATTTAAAATGTCTACTCCAATGTCTTTTTTATTCTTAGTGACATTGTATCTAAAATTGTATGTTTTTTTGTGAAAAAAAAAAACACCCTGTAACTTACAAATGAAGGAGGCCCAATTATCTTATTCCGGTCTTAAAAATGCCTGGAACACTTGTGCTGTTTCATTTAAAACAGCCAGTATATTTCTAAGGTGCATCATTAGTGACCAACATGAAGATTATTCACTTGCCCTGCCATTCACAAAATTCCGAGCAAAATGCTTAATACGCCACGATCTTAATTTACATAATTGTCTTAATTTTTTTAACTGCCTCATGGGACATAAAAATTTGTAATCTAGCACAATCTTGTTGGCCACTCTTTAACATGCAGAAAGTCACCAAATATTAACATCACCTCAGGCTCTAACTCGTACAAGAGAAGGGTCTCTTAAAAAATAATATAAAACCGTACACCAATTTTGCAAACGGGTTACGATTTTTTATTTTGGTAGCAGTTTCTGCACGATATTAAATTAAATACGAGATGAACGAAGGAACCCGGCCCACACTGTCCTTAGTTAGGTAATTTTCGTAAACTGCTGACGCTGTCATTACCTAAAATTGCTAAGTTTAATTTTGAAATACGCAAGGCCATATTTTTCAGCATCCCAGTCTCCCTCGCTGTAATGTAGAATTAATATTGAGATGATCTTATTACGCATGATTAATGTCTATTGTAGAGTGGACACATCCTCCTTCACTTAAACGTTATTGTTCTTGTTAATATAAAATTAAACAATATAATTTGCTTCCAAAGAGATGTGCTGGTGTATACGGTGAAATTAAAGGCTTTTTAACGATGGCTTATTGGGTAAGTTTAATTTATATAATATTATATATTACGCTGTTCTAAAAATTATTTTTTATTCGTTCATGAACTTTAACGTTATCTACTTAAAGAGACATTAAGGGTAAAGCTAGTTCAAATTAAATATAAAAATAGTAGTCTCAAGTACTTTAAAATGGTGCTATGTTGTAATGTTTAAGATGCCTTACTGAATAGTATATAATATATATTTAAAACTCAAAAAAAAAGTTTTAATATATTTCACATAAAAATAGTTATCAAGGAAATAATGTGTTACAATAAAATTCATTGCACTGCACATCTTAGATCAAAATACGGTAATAGGATTGTTTTGAACCAGAATTATTTTATTTTTTATGGCAGGTAATAAAAACCATTTTTTAAGACAACATCCAACGACGATTGTTACCATATCATGGTCAGTCATCCAGATCACGACATTTTTTATGGGGCTATCTTATTGGTCCTTGTCTCCTTCAAAGTCCTCCCATCCCCTATTCATACACTTTTCCTAGCAGTGTTCCCATTTCGCGAAGTAGTCCTGGATAGCTTCATTTGAAATGACATTTAAAGTATGTGACGAATTTGCTTTTATGTCTTCAGTCCTTTCAACACTGATTTTAATTTCGGAAATAAGAAAAAAAAAAACGCAAGGAGCCAGGTCTGGCCAGTAAGGAGTGTAAGGCAGGATAGTAACCTGTTTTTTGGCACAAATCTGACGAATTGACAAAGCTGAGTGTGCAGCACCTTGTCATGCTGCAAGAACTATGAGTTGTGTTCCCACAACTCTGGTCTCTTTTTGCGGACGTAACCATAGTAAAAGGCCTTGATAGTACACATTTGGCAAAAATTCAAAATGCACTATTCCATTAAAGTCGAAAAAAAAAACAATGAGCATTGGATCGAGACTGACGCACTTTCTTTGGGTGTGGAGATCCTTTGCCAATTGTGATGATTGAATTAATGTTTCATAGTCATTGGATTGTTCAAGGAATTGCCGACAAACTCCACACGATTATCTCTCCATTGTTCGGTCATCAAACAAGGAACAAATTTTGCTGCAACTCGGTACATGTTCAATTTTTCAAAATTTCATGGTATGACCCAATTGAGATACTAATTTCTCTGACAGCCAATCGGCGATTAACACGCACCAGATCTTTGATTTTCTGAATGTGGGAGTCATCAGTTGAAGTCCAAGACTTTCCTGACCGAGGATCATCTTCAATTGACTGATGACCACTTTTAAATCGTGGAAATCATTTGTAACATTGCATCCTGAGCCGGATTCTGTTCAAGCTCAGTAAATCATGCGCTCTTTCCTTAGAAGGATACTCCATGAGCTCCTTAGAATGTCTATGTCCTGGCCTTGAAGTCCAGTATTTCCTATGTTCTGTCTCAGTCCATTTGCCCAGAACCCGCCCGACCACACTGGGAGATGTGCCACAGAAGGGCTCCGGGCCAATGAACTCAGTTTCGGATCCTTTCCTAGCAAGTTCATCCGCTTTCTCATTTCCACAAATGCCTTTATGCCCTGGCACCCAACATAGTCACAGTGGTAATACTTAGGTTTAATATTAGAATATTTTTCCAAACCAGTCTTAGAGGATCGAGATGGGAGTATAATCGAGAAAGAAAGCGAAAATAAGTAAAATACTGATATATACAGGGTGACATGGAAAAAAGTGCAATATTGTAGAGAACCTCAAAACTTATAAAAAGTTCCTATTCACTTATGTCTAAATTTCTTTTGTTTTCGAGATACAGAGTGTTTAAAGAAATTTTGGAAAATATTTTTTTTTTATTATTTCCGATTAAGTGGAGGGAATGTACTGACAATTGGTATATAATGTCCTCTACAGGTTGCCAACTAGTGGCGGAGTTAGAGGGCTCACTATACTTAAATCAATTAATAAATTAATACTCAATCGTACTGTTAATAACGAAGAAGTTGTTTTGCAAACGGTAGAAAATAATCCAGAAATAAATACCAGAAAAATAAGTTTTGCTGTATAAAATGTAAACCGCGAGTCAGTCAGACAAGTCCTTATGGAATAGCTTTTTTACTCCTTCCATTTTCAAAAAGCTCATCACTTATTAGAAGATCATTTACCCAGTATACAATATTGCAAGTGACCGCTATTTGAGGAACATGGACATGGATTTTATGTCAAGTGAAAATTTTTTTGTAGGGAAACCTTGCAAAATATGATACAAACATTGAGATGAACTTTTAATATGAATTATTTATTGGCAACATGTAGATGATATTATGTACCAATTGTCAGTACATTCCCTCCACTTAATCGGAAGTAATAAAAAGAAATCAATATTTTCAAAAATTCCTTTAACACTGTATCTCGAAAACAAAAGAAATTTAGACATAAGTGTATAGGAACTTTTTATGTTTTTCGGTCCTCTATCATGTGGTGCTATGATTGCACTTTTTTCCATGTCACCCTGTATATATTACCCGCTATACCTTTAAATGTATTAAACATAATTTTACATAAGATCTATTTATTTATTCATTATTTTATTTATTCATTCCTTCTTTATGCTCTATCACTATTATTGATGTGAGCTTCTTTTCTTTTTGCGAAAATGTACGTTTACTCTATGAGTTCCTATAACGAAATGAGCTCCGCAGGTCCCTTGTAAATTTTGCCACTGCACATCCCACCTATGGTGAAACTTGGACATCTTTAAAATTATAGTTGTTCTGGATGCAAGACTTTCAATATTCGCGAATAAAAATAAGATTGCAAATATTTCAAGTTGATATTCGCGAGTGCAAATGCGAAGAACTTCTATTAATATACGTACAAGTAAAGTTAACAGATAATAAACTTACCTACAGAATAGAATTTTTGTTGTTATAAATACGATGAAATATGGGACATCTCTACATTAAATGTGAGAATTTGAAAAATCAAAAATTTGCAATATGCGTTGCAAAACGGTCATGTTACACAATAGAATATCAGTAAAATAGTTTTTATGCCCTGCAAATGCTATAATTAAAGTGATATGATCGAAAAAGGGCAAGGCAAACTTTTCGATTTTATTTAAAATCGCCAACAATGTTATAAATAAAGAGATAAGAATATAGCCGTAGAATATAATATAAAAACATAACTTCTACATTCTTTGACACATTATTTAGTCACAAAATAGCCCCAATTTGCCACTACTTTTTGTTTGTAGATAACTACAAAATTAATTATTGACACTTCTTTGAGAAATAAAAAAAAAATAATTAACTTGACCTATTTGTGAATATTTCTTTTATTTACGAAAGTATTTTTGTTTTAGGTAATTCTGAAACACCTGTTTCCAAACTGGCAAACTCTAGTCCTACTAGCTGTATTATTCTATCTTGTATATCGATATTCCACACGAAATCATGACTATTGGAAAAAAAGAGGCGTTCCTTTCGAAAAACCAGTATTTTTAGCGGGTAGTTTATGGGAGGTATTTAAAGGACAGAGGCATGTAGGGAAACACCTGGGACACTTGTACAAAAAGTACAACACGCCATATTTCGGTATTTACATAATGGGAAAGCCTTACTTGGTCCTGAGAAATCCCAACATAATCAAAACCATCACCATCAGGGATTTCACCAACTTCGACGACAGGACATTCGCTTGTGACAAAAATGCGGACGCAATCTCAGGGAATAGCCTCTTCATTTTAAGAAACCCTGACTGGAAGGACATCAGAAATAAACTAACCCCGATTTTCACTTCAGGAAAATTGAAATTAATGTTCCCTATAATGAAACAGTGTTGCAGAGAAATGATAATTTTCCTCGACAAACACGACGGAGACATTCTGGAGATCAAAGAAGTCTCCGCGAAATATATGACCGACCTGGTGGCATCCTGTTTCTTCGGCTTAGAAATCAATTCATTCGGAGAGAAGGACTCGGAGTTCAGGATATTCAGTAGGAAGATGTTGGACTTCGACGTATATACTTCGTTCTGTTTGTTCAGTTATTTCTTTGTGCCTAAGTTTGTCTCTTGGTTTAAGCTGAAGATGCTAGATACTAGCTTCTTACAACGAATCTTACACGACACACTCAGCAAACGGAAAAATATGAATATGAGGAGGAACGACTTTGTTGAGTTGTTGCTGCAAGTGAGGGATAATTTAAGCGACAATACACATTTTGGTAAGTACGTTTATAATTTTTTTTTAGTCTAAAGCATTGTTCTCAAAATCGTCCAATCGCAAATGCGATACATTGTGACTTAATTTTAAAATTGCAGGACTCGATTACATATTGGAAAATAAGTGTACTTTGCGCTATAAACTTTTAATTTAGTTTTCGAGGTATTAAAATTATAAAAACACATTTGTGCAAATATCTCTGGTATATTTGACATAGATTGATGAAACATGTGACTTAACTAAGTAAAGATACAATTTACTGAATTAGTGGCATTTACATGTTTCGAGAACGAAACTAACATCGGCCGGTTTCATGATGTTTCGAGAGACATACCGGTTTCTTTTTCAGGGGAAATTCTGGAGCTGGAATTAAGTTCTCTGGCTGGTATTTATATTTGCTGTGTACATTTATATACGTCCTTATATGAGGTTGTTTGTATTATCGGTTGTTGCCAGATACTCCTCACCTTCCTATTGTTGGTTTGTTTAATATTTTGATTTCTTCTGACAGTTCTTCGTTCAATTTTCTGGTTTGCAGGTGGTACGTTCTTCAGGCGTTATGATGTTGACAATACCTTGTTTCTTTGTCGGATGCAGCAGATTCCTCTCCATGTAGGTTAGTTTTCTGTAAACCCTGTGTCTCAGGGTGCCGTCAGATTTTCTCTTGACAAATATCTAGCAATGGCAGGGTACCATTTTCTTCCAGCTCCTTGGTCAGGGTAATGTAGTCTATTGATGAAGTTCATCCTTCTGTTATTATATCCGCGTAGTCAGGTAATGAATGTATCGTCATCGTAATAGTTAATATTTCAATTTTAAATTTACTCACTCCAGGGCTTTCATCTCAAAGTGCCCCATGCAAATATTTATCAAAACTTCAGAGCCAAAGGTAAACTCATTGCTGCTCCTGCAGTTTATTTAAAAAAAACTGATTCCCAAAGGAGAAGATTCATCTGTATACACATCTTTGCAGAGTCTACTAAGTTCTCACCCTCACCTTTTTCTGTGCTGAACCTTCAATGAAGTTCTTCCGAAGCTTCTTTAATTGACACTTTTGTCACATTAAGACAAAACTTATTCTATTTTAAAAGGTATTAAACAAATTCAAAATAAAAAAAAATCTTGTCAAATAAGTGAAACAATGTTCTTCGACACCAGAAATCTAGTATGCAAAAGATATCTAACCTCACAGACTACTGATGTTGTGAACAACTCTATGGGCTACATGCCCTAACTAGTAATGACTTATGGAACGACATAATCTAGTGAACAGCTAGTATTATCCAAAATAAAACTAAAAATGATATGAATTTCCAGTGTTGCGAGAAACAACTACCCCGCGGGCTACATGCCCCGACCAGCATTGGATTATACTCGCAACACCTAGTACAACAGCTAGGATCGTTCGTCAGTTTAACCCACCAGACATAGACTGGTTTCGGACTTATTGGTCCTCAGTATGTCATAGGTGATATGACTAAATATATTTAATATAATAACACACAGCTGATATATTGAAATTAATTTCGTCCCGAAACATGGCCCCACGTTGGGCGCCATGTCGTGGTTGTGTGTTGGTTGCTTCCTGGGTTGGTCCCGGCTGTTGAGATCGGCCAGCTTCTCCCATGAGCATCATCATTGGGTTGAAGACCCGTATGATGGGACGGGAAGGATCGGGTTGTTCAGAGTCCCTCTTGCCAGCGCGGGGGCTGGAGAGTTCTCCGGCATCTCGTTCCTCTCCCTCTTGATGTACGGCCCTGCGGCCATCATCGAGGGGAGGTGAGATTTCCGATCCTCCGCCATCGTTCTGAGTTCAATATGCCCAGGTGGAAATTCCACGATCTATTTGTTTCGTTTGTTGCGACCGAATCAGCCGTTGGAGCATTTCATTAATTTGGTTTCCACTTGGGACTTTGGAAACGGAGTTCGGGCTTTCGTGTCATCGTATATGCACTTGGTTCGGGTCTGATACCCTAGTGTCTGAAAATCACTGTCTTTTAATTCACTTTACTTTAATTCACTTCTTGGAGTGCCGGTACTGGGGCTTTTTAAAAGCTTTGTGCAGCGTGGAACTGGCCGAGAGCGTTAAAGCTCGAGGTTTGTGTATTTTTTAGCTGAGAAATAATAACTCAAGAGTAAGTAAATATATATCGTGTATTTAACGGATACTTTTAGTACAGAATGCTATAGGAGCGAATTCTTTTCATACGGCGAGTGTTCGACTATCACCAAGAACTGTGTCCTGACTTTTGGAACGCCGAATGCTCGAATCTCACCAGGTACTATGCACTGGGTAATAGACTGCAAATGCCACGGGCGTGCGTTCAACTCCCGGCAGGGTGAATCCCAGTAGAACTACTGCTGCGTGGATTGGTTCAGTGACACCTTGTTTCGGCCGGCGACGTTTGCATTCTTGCCTGGTCTGGTCGCTCGGTCGTGGTTGGTTATCTGAAACTGAATAAATTAGGTAATTCCGACTCGGAGGTCTTGCGAGAGATGGCTTTGGTGACGATCTCTTTGGAAATTTCGAAAGGATGGTGAAATTATTTTTCCTTTGTCTCTCGTCGACGGTCTCAGGGAGGCTTTGAAGTAAGCCGTGGTCATTGTCCGATGACGCGAAGGTGGCTACGCCTACTCCCTGTTGTCCTGGTTGCTCGACGGTAGAGATTTCGAAAGGTCGGTGAAACTTTTAGAAAGATCGGTGATTTTGGTAATTGTCTGATGCCATTTTGCTGGTATGACGGCTATCTAGGTGCCTTCGTGCGTTGTATTGAACGGTCTGTTGCACGATAAAAGACCGTTCGTAGCGTTTGTGGAGCTTCGAGCAGATTTTCGAAATATCCGCGATTTTCGAGGATTTCTTTTTCTGCTTGTAGCCTGCCTTTGATGCATTTGTCTGAGGAGTATGATTTTCGAGCGTTTTGTTGGTTGGCTTCGAAACATCGGTAAATTTCAAGTCGCTCGTCTTATGTTCTACGACATTATCACCCTGATAAAGACTAATCACGTATGAAGCAGCTACTACAAAGAAATTTTTGTCAGGTCGCGTCCTTTCTTGTATAAAATCATAAATATTAACAATATATATATATATATCATTTTAAATTTCCATCCTTATGTATTCAATTTCGAGTTCAATTTGCATTGTTATAAAAAGATCTAAAAAAACCATGGGCATAGAAATTAAACAACAGTTTCTATTCTAATGATTTTTTCGTGGCGGCATTGTATTTATAACAATGGTTATAATTTTTTTACCCGACAATACGTTTCGAGTTAATGGAATTCAATTAAGAACCGATTGAATTTACAAACTCGGTGAACTGTTATCTTAATTTAGTTAAGGAGATATTTTTTAAAAGATCTAACTCATTTGTCTCGAAAAATAATAGAGCAGAGAATCTATTCCTGTAATTTAAAAGTATAGATCACCCCGTACAATAATAATATGACTTTTATTCTAGACACTGACACGATGGTTTCACAAGCCATCACATTTTTTGTTGCTGGGTTCGAGACGACAAGCAACGCGTTGGCGTTTGTTCTCTACGAACTGTGTCTGCGACCAGATTGTCAAGACAGGTTGCGTGAGGAAATAAATGATACTTTCCACACTGATGATGATATCACATTTGAAAATATACAGAAAATGAAGTACCTGGATATGGTACTCTCTGGTAAGTACTAAAAGTAGTCTTGTTTTCCGTTTATCAATAAAAAATCCCTAAATCTTAGCGTCACCAATATTCAATAATGACAAATTGATACGTCTACGTCGAGGTCTACGTCTACGCTCGAGATAGTGCGATCGCTGATTGGCTGAATACAATCTTGTGAAAAATTACATCTATCACAGTCGATGAACCAGAATGTTGTGTTTTAATGTAATTTAATCATTTTTAATTTACAACAAAATTACTGGTCACATGGCTTGTAATCATTTGTAAAGACTTTGTACCTTTGTATGATTCTCAATAAACGAGTATATGAGGGATGAATTTCAATTTTCAGAAACGTTGAGACGATATCCTTTCGGGCCATTTTTGAACAGGAAGTGCAAAGAAGACTACGTCATTAAAGAAACTGGGTTAGTGATTGAGAAAGACACTCCCATACTGATTCCCATAGACGGGATTCATAATGACCCGGAATATTATCCGGAGCCAGAAAAATTCGACCCAGAAAGATTCGTGGATGGACACAAGAAATATTCACAATCTTGTACCTACCTTCCATTCGGAATGGGTCCGAGAAATTGCATAGGTAATGATTTATATTTCATTATGAAACACTTTCTTCATACTTTTCCAAATTAGATAATTAAAATAATAAAAATTGTTTATTTTTTTTAAGTTTAACAAAATGGTGCTAAAAATTTGTAACATGTACTACAATATTTACTTATCATTCGCCAAATATTGGTGCAAATATTATGTGACAAAAAATTCTATTAAAGTTTTAATTACTTTGCTTGGATGATTCCAATACTAGGCGAAAAACATTCTATCGGTACGTAATTACAAATACTAATAGTAAACAAAAAAAGAGGAAAGAAATATAGCTACGCAGTAGTTTAAAAAGTTTCATGTAATAAAATCGGACGGCAATTGGGTTAGGATTTGTTTTGGCTGTATAAAAAATTGTTTTTGCTTTTTCAAGTGTAACTCATTTAACTTACTTATCTATCTGATCTTGTTATTTAATAATTAATCATAATAATTAAATGCAAACTTTAACTATTTAACCATGTAATTATATTTATATTTAAATATACGGGATGTAATGTTACAACATGTCAAAAATTAAAGAGAGTTTTCCTAGTTAAAAGTATTATATTTTCATAAACAATCATTTGTTCTTGCGGTTTGTTTTTTTAAATACTTACATGAGGAAATTTATTAAGTATCTTCTGACAAATGAATATATTGAAACGAGATTCTGTATAGACATTACACAAATAAAATAATATATTGCAAAAATTAAGTCATAGCACCCAGATTATGCACCTGATCGTAACAAAAATAACCAGAAAAACATCGAACTTATGGTATAATCATTGACGTAGATATAAACCATGCTATTTACATTCTCCATAAAAATTATGGTTACTACTGGAAATAAGATATTTATTTGTAATTTTGAACAACAAATTTTATTTTAACAAAAAATAATCTGGAATTTTTTGCACTACTTTTATCATTTCGTTAGTAATTAATGATTTATAGAGATTATAAATTAAAGTAAATGTGGAATTTATTTAAAAAATACCCCAATATATTTATCTTTTTACATATTCTCTAATTATCTTAAAATTTCCTATAGTATTTTCTTTAAACTTAAACAGCCTAAATCTCAAAAACCAGAGCTTCTGCATTGTTGATACGTTGCCTTATAACACCCTCTATAGGTAATTCTAAATTTATCTCAATATATTACTTCCATAAATTGCTAATTTGTATGAAAAAAAAATCAAGAGATCATTTTAATTTAAAATAAAATTTGCATTTCAAAAATTGATGATTTTTTCATGATGTTTTTTATGGGTTTTTTTCAGTGGCGCGCCATAATTTTTTGAGTATAATGTTTTAGCTCATACTTCATATCTACGCCTGAGTCTACGCCATTAGTTTGAGCTAAAATTTCCTTGTTTCACGTTGAATGCTTTTTATTTATACATACTGTGTAAATAAATAAATAAATTTTGTTTGAATACCTTAAATTTTTCAGAAGATATTTAGAGGTACATTTTTTTGGAAAATTTAATACGCTTTATCTGAAAACAATGGTCTTAAGGGCAAATGCTTATCAAAGGAAATATTTTAAGCCCTTTCAGACTGTCAAACTTCTGTGAAATTATTTCGATTATATAATTATAAATTTGGAATTGTGGAAATCAACTTTCACACCAATTATATTTAATTTTTTTTGTTTCAAAACTGTACCTAAATCTTTCCGCCCTCCCTGATATAGAATAAGTCAAGAGCCGCCACTATCTCTTCATTTCTTTTATCGTTTCAGGTGACAGATTTGGACTTATTTGTGCTAAAGTAGGAATAGTCTTCTTCCTCAGGTATTTCAAAGTGGAAAAATGCGAAGATACTCCTGTGCCACTGGTTTTAAATCCAAAATCTCCCTTTATGATGCCCATTAAGGGACTCAAAATGACGGTGAAAAAAGCTTAATTGACTTCAAATAACTTATGAGGAAAGAGTAAACCTCAAGTCCTCAAAACACTTTTAGAAGACGAACATAAATACAGTGCTACCTCTTTAATCCGAACACACATGTTAATCCGATCACAAGCTAATCCGAACGGCAAGGAAAGACTAGATCGCTTCGCGCGTACGCGCGTAGTCGGCAGCAGTCAGCAGTCAGTTTGTGTGCCGATAGCGAAGAACCTGTTGCGTGTCGTGGTAACAATTTTGGAGTTTTTTTGGAAGTAAGAAAAATAAAAAATGTGAAAAGCGTAAAATAATAATACATATATATGTATATGTAACTACATGTTTATGTTTTACCTTATATAAGTTTTATGTATGTTATATGATTTATATTTATATTGCTATAATAAAATGTGTACCTATGTATTTACATATCAAATCTTTATAGTATGTTCGATAATCCGAACGATTCGATAATACGAACAATGCCTGGCAATGTGGTGTTCGGATTAAAGAGGTTGCACTGTAGTAGTTAATATTAACATTTACAGAGGTATTAATTTTGGGTCATAAAATTGTACTTAAAGGTATTTTGAGGCCATAAATAAATTATTTTGTTTGGCCCATTTGTAATCTCAAATAGTCTTACTAATAGCAATACTTTTAACTTTTCAATAGAAAGAATATAATTTAATGTTTTGAGGTTTTTTAAATGTTTTGCAGGTAGACAAGTGACCATAACTTCAAATCCTTACTTTTTTTTAATAACGAGGGGAAGGGAAACACACATGTTAATACAGTATATAAGAAGTAAGATTAAGTTATGGAATGGAAAATAAAAGCTTTTTAGCCTTCTACAGTTTTTTCATTTCCTAGTTTAGATATTTTTATAAAAACTTCGATACCTAACCTAATATTTGGCACTTGTATTTTTAAGTAGGTATATCTATTTGTAATTATAAAAACGTGAATTGTATGACCCCAAAAAGTGAAAAATAATAGCCACAAACTTACCAGAATGCAGATCTAATGACAGTAATCCAGTTGTAGATAACCAAATTATGACAATGTACCTACTTACAATAGTTGCAGAAAATATAAATACAATAGTCTTCACTAATTCACTTCAGAAAATGCATTTTTAACACTGTTATTGACCACTAACCACTGCAAAATTAAATATGTTACATAAAAAAACCGGATATAAATACATTTTTATCACAGTATCACACAATAATAGATGTTCACGTTCAAAACAGCACTAGCCGTTTTCTTTTTCTAAGATTCATAATCGTGATCAGAAGACAAGCCTGATTGGTGGATGAACATATGATGCTACAGTTTTTATCCAATCATGATTGCAAAATGATCATTATGGTCGAAAGAAATCGGCAATTGTTTGGAGTTTGAAATCAGTTTTTCAATAGAACTTTTTTATCTTCAACTTTTTACTTGCAAAAATATTACTGCATTGATATATATGTTTATTAAATATTAAGAAATATACCTTTAACGATTATTTAAATACCTACTCTGCTATCTACCTAGGAAATAAGAATTTAGTAAATATACCAATAAATATAAATTTATAATATTAAAAAAGATTGATAGCTTTTATAAAGTTGTAATTTTAGGTGAAACAACAGAATAAATTTACATGACTTTAATTTTTTTCGGAATGCTTTGGAAGATATCACCATTGCATACTTCAAAGGCAGTAGTACTCGCATAACTTATCCAGAAAATTATAACTTGGGAGTTCAGAATTGGGGACAGAATTCAAATTTTACTCACATTAGTTGTGTTCTGTCAAATATGCCCCTGCAACGTATGCAACCTTTTATACAACACTAACCCGGGGTGGCGAATTGAACTGTTTTTGTTGTAATTAATTGTAAAATATATTATATAAACACACATCTAAAGTTTGTTTTTTGTCATATAATATAGCAATCCAAAAAACAATAAACTATTCCTATGTATGTATTTATTCTGGGTGCCAATCCAGACAAGAAAAAATCAGAGCCAGTACAGCTCAACAATCAGTAGGTATATTATGTTTTAACAAAATTTGAAAATTAATAGACAAGAAAATTTATCAAAAATTTGTAATTATTTAGTTCTATATCTGCATTTGTTCACAGGTAATTAATTAAAAACTGCATAAATTGTTCTTTTCTATTTATGGAAATTATATTAACTTCATATCTATTGCATAAACAATGTATTCTACAGTCATATAAATTTTATTTAAAAAAATTATTTATAATAATATATTATAGAATCTTATAATACAAATAAATTAATAAGGCAAACATAATCAATTTGAGGAAGTGATGGGTCCTAATTCATCGTCATTCATCTCGTCTAAGGTCTGCCTGTAAAAGAAAGTTGTCCATTATAAATAGATGATGTAGGTACTATATATACAGGATATAACAAAAGTGAACTAATAAACTTCTTATAAGTACTTGTTACTATTTGTTTCAAAACTGATTTGTTGAGGAGACAGGGGGAGTTGAAGATACGAAAACGTATAAATTTCTATGCCTCTTGACGTTTAAAAATTCTGACAAAGATTTTTGATTATTAATTCTATTTGCACAAATATTCTCAACATAGTTCCCGTAATTTCCCGTTCATTTTCAAAATTTATTATTTGTATTGTAGGGGCCGGGCAGGATGGTTAGTTTCACAAAAAATAAAAACTATTTGTTTCAATCTTCAAAGTTGTATTTTTCTCACCTTAAACTTAACATGTGTCTTAACCTCATCAAAACGAATCTCTTCTTAAGAGTGACTAATACATAATATAAAAACACTATTACAATAATGCATGAAATGATTTCTATACGGTTCAATATTATTTATCTTTGTGCCGCTCGCCATGCACATCGGTAGAATCTATAATCGTGTATAGACTGAGTTACACTGAACGTCGATCTATATTTTATCTCTGTCTTTTGCACTTGGTAGGGAATAGGGAAATGATTTTTTAGTGGGTGTAAACGGACTTGATTTGCCCGACCTGAGAAACGTCATAGCATAAGCGTAGACGAGGGGTCTAATTCCATGGCTATAATAAATTTATAAATTAAAAAAACACAACTGGGACGTTTTAAAATGCTGTAATAATTAAAATTGATCAATGTGCCGGTTATAGCAAACCGTAAGAAATAGATGTTATGTTTTATTATGTTTTTTCAATATTTTCTATATCTTGTTGCCTTTTACGCAGACACGCCAATTGATTTTCGTTCCCGGCACGCTTCATCCCCCTTACTAGTCCAAAAGCTAGCGATGAATCACTATCTATAATTTTGGCCGTCGAGTATAGATGAGGTCAAAATAATATCAGTTCTTCATATAAATTTTTTCCATACGGGCCTTCGTTAACAATTTTAAGGGCCCTCAAAGTTGAAAATTAAAATCTTTTTTATTTACAGTCTCTAAACTATTAACTTCAACATGATGCAAATTTGGTGATCCATAACACATGCGTACAGCTTGTTTTTGAAGTAGTAAGTGAAACTTCATTATGTCCAGAACGCCAGGGACAGACTATGCCCAATGGTTAACAACCCAGAATTTTTGCATAGATGACAATCCCAATCTGCCTGTATCAAAAATAAGTTCCCTGAAGAATTTGCCAACGATAATACCCTCTTAGTTCAACTCGATGAAATTAACAGTTTAGGAAATATTTGTGATTTTATGTCACAGAGCACATCGAGCGGCGCATCCACCATTTTTTGTTTTTAATTTTTAATTGGACATAATTACTATGTTAGAGGCGTACATATTTTTAAAATAAGAGCCTAGGAAATCTAACTGTGTACTAATGTAATTTTCGCTAATAGAAATTGACAAATACACTTTACATTTAACACAAAATAGAAAAACGAAACAAGAATAAGTTAGAGTAAGTTAAAAAAATAATTTTAAAGAAGGAAGACTATCAAAATACATTTTCAATATGGGCACTTTTCACCTCCACGCAGTTCCTATGTCTACGAATGTTATTTGTTTGTACACGAAAAAGCATTTCTGAAGTAGGTCTAATATTATTACAATGGAAATTAATTCTTTGTAGCAATTCATCCCTTGTTTGTACTGGAGTTGCGTACACTAAACTTTTCAAGTATACCAACGTAAGAAGTCCATCGGGTTAAAGTCTGGAGAACGTGGCGGCCATGAAATTGCGCCTCCTTTGCCAATCCATTTATTATTAAACACAATGGATAAATAATTTCGTACATCAAGATTGAAGAGGGAGGGGAGAGCCCCATTGTGCATGAACCAAACGTTTCTTTGGGTGTTTAATGGAACATCATCTAATAGTGGCTGCAAATTATTTTGCAAAAACTCCAAATATCGATGTCCATTCAGACGTTCCTCAAAAACGTATTGACAGTTTTCTTTCTTTTAAATTATTTTTATGTATAAAGTGTGTTTGTCAAATTTTGTTAGTGATAATTACATTAGTACACATTAAGATTTTCTAGGCTCCTGTTTTAAAAATAGGTACGCTTCTAACATAGTAATTAAGTGCAAATAAAAATTAAAAACAAAATGGTAGAGGCGCCGCTCGAGTGCACCGTGACATAAAATCACAAATATTTTCTAAACTGTTAATTTTACCGAGTTGAACCAAGAGGGTATTATCGTTGGCAAATTCTTCAGGGAACTTATTTTTGATACAGGCAGATTGCGATCGTCATCTATACAAAATTTCTGGGTTGTTAACCATTGGGCATAGTTCGTCCCTGGCGTTCTGGGCATAATGAAGTTTCACTTACTACATCAGAAATAAGCTGAACGCATATGTTATCGATCACCAAATTTACATCATGCTGAAGTTAGTAGTTTAGAGATTGTAAATAAAAATAAGATTTTAATTTTCAACTTTGAGGGCCCGTAACTTGTTAACGAAGGCTCGTATGGAAAAAATTTATATGAAGAACTGATATTATTTTGACCTCATCTATCTGTACTCGAATTTTTTGTATCAAGTACCGGGACACCCTGTATCTCATGTTTATAAAAATCATTGGCGTAGAAAATCTATTGAAATAAAAATACATTTATTACTATATTACTGAGTACTGCAGATTGTGGATCATGCCTGGTATTATAAGTTTAACTTTTGAAAAAAGTGTTTTGGAAAATATTCTAAAAAAATTACAATTTTATCCTTTTTTATCCTTATCCAATTATTATTTTAGACCAGAAAATATACGATCGCTTACCAATATTATTTTTCAGTTCAATATACCTTCCAAGTTATAATACAATTTTTCCACAATAATTTTTCTTTATATAAGGTGTTTTGGAAAGAGTACCATAAATTTATAGGCTGATAGATCATAAAAACAAATATATATTTTCCAAAAGACAATTATGCCTATCACCGTTTTTTATTTTTTGGGTACAGGGCGTCAAAATTGGTTTTTCCTAATGACATTTTATGGTATAACGCTTTTGGGGTTAGGTGTATATTGTAATGTAAAAATAGTAAGTATATTAAAATCGAAAAAAAGGAATAATATTTTTTTTACTCTTACTTTTAAAAAATTATTATCGCTTTGTAGACTAAACCTCTGGAACATTTTTATATGAAAAGTTGGAAATGTCAAGGTAAAAAACGATATCCAGAAGGTTTTCCTACATTAAAAGGCGATATTGGAAATTAGGCGCTATTTCTTTGTCAACATGACAGCAATTTATTAGCGTTATGACCTCATTTCTTTCTGAAAATAATATACCTCGTGCTTACCTTTTCCTTGCTCTGAGTATATAAAATAGAATACCACCATTGATTATAAAGAGGACCACAATAAGTAATACTGGTGCTAATAATTCTGAAACAATATACAAACATTATTATTTAAACTTCTATATTTAATCAATTTAGGTTATTTACAGGATGTTTTTTAAATTCATGTTGAAAAGGTTTAGAACTAAAAGCGTTGATGAATACCAGAACCAGTAGTTTTCGAGCCTTGAAGTTTAAAAAAATGTATTTATTAAACTATATCTCAAGACTTGATGGGGGCTAATAAAATGCGAGTTAACAATTTAAGGGAAAATTTTATTAGGATGGTATACAAATAGGTCTGTTTGAAATATTTCTGCCACATAGAAAGGAATTTTTATTAAATAAATAACTACATGCACCAAAATGATTAGTCGAAAGGTTGATTTTATTTAATAATTTAGTTTTGCCTAACTAGAAATATCAGAGATTAAGAAAGTAAATAATTATGTGGTATTTATTGTGTAATTTTGAAGAATTATCTATTTTTTGAGTATGACATATTTCTGATTAGTAAAGTCTCATAGTAAAATAAATTAATTTACAATGTTATCTACATAATTAAATATATCAGCCTTATGAAACACATTAAAAAGCAACTGTTTAATTTGCAATGTGCAGTTAACTCGACTTGTAAAACTTGTTTGTAAAACTCTGTAAAGTGTTTACAGCGGTGGTCATGGTTACCGTCGCGCAGCATAAGACGGATTGGAAGTAGTATTTACTATGCAGTTTTGGGCTCTGTTTGATCTGACCGCAACCAAATAAAATCTATTCACCGCTTTTTTTCTTAATAAACGTAATTTGTTCAGGTGTGGTGTAAAATTTTGTTACAAATTGTTTCTTGTTTCTTTTTTAAATCGTAAAAGTTTAAATTGATTATAGCACTTGCAGTGCTATCTACTAAAAAATCGATGTAGCGAGAAATACCAAACTTTAATGAAAAAGTAATAGAAAAGTTTATTTCGGCCAAAAGCAGAAGAATGGACTTTCACTATAAAAAATAATGTTGAGTATATTTTCCCTATATTTCAACAGTACTTACAATAAAACTATCCAATTATATTTGATTTTCTTTTCTATACTTTGTACCAAAATTTTTCCGCCCTTCCTGATATGGAATTTAGCCGCCACTGCTGGTTAGCACACTAATTTTATAAAATTAACACCTTCACCGAGTCTTTTAGCGGAAAACGCTATTTATTAAAAAAAATCTTGTCAGTGTGGCAGAAATAACAAATGAAATTAAACAGTAACAAAATGCCACAATAAATAAATATAATTACAAACAATATCGTACAAAAATATTCCATTACCAGCGGCGGGGCAGAGATGTGTGAAGCAATTTTATTAAAAATCTCAGAATTTCTGAAATTTAGTGTATTTACTTCTTATTATCACTTTCTTTATTTTTCAGTAATCTGATATAGTTGAACAAAAATATTTAAAAAATACTATTAAAAATTGTTCTATTACCTGTTACCATATTGCGTGTCTTTGTAGATTTGATTATAATTTCCTGTGTTTGATTACTTTGTAGTAAAGATGCTTCTATAACAAATAGAGAAAAAAATTAACAGAACACAAAATTACAGTTATAAAAAATAGAAACTAATACACAAAATTTAGTTTACTCAAGCGGAATTTTTTAAGGACACATTAAAATTAAACGGTTTAGTTACGGGGTGTTAAGTTTTAGGGCTATAATACTTTTTCCTGCTTTCATCATAAAACATATCATTAAACAAAATTAAAAAAATAGACAGATCGAATAAACTGATATAATTTTGATTAAAAAGAGAACATTATTACTTTTGATTCCTAGCGTAACAGACATAGCTGTGACTTTTTCACAGAACCAATCTATTTCCAGATTCTGTACGCAATATTATTTTATTCTATTTAAACCATTTTGTCACCCAATAAATTATTAACAAGGTTCTCACTTATGTATTACAAATAAACGATGCACTATTTTAGAGGCCTTATTGAAAATTCAACACTTGACGTCAATCAGCACTTCAACGTTCTTAAGCCAGATGCCCAACTGTTTGTTATGATAATATTTTGCAAAAGCAATAAGCGGTGATCGATAGTGAATTTATTATAGACTAATCGTTTCAAATATCAGAGAAAGAAAATAATCGAACGATGGTGCTCACTTAATTAGTAAATTTATTTCTCATAAATACACCTAGTGCCTGTTTATTAATGCGAAAGGAGTGTTATGTAACGGCACTGGGAATTCTAGTTACAATTATATACGTAATTCTCTTCTTTCTTTATTTATTTACTTTTTCAGAATTTGCTTCTCTAATACATAAATAAGTATTGTTATGTATAAAATAGTAATGCAAGGTAGTGTTAGCTACAAGTAAATGTAAACATTATTGTTGCTATGTATTCAAATTGAAGTTATTATAAAACTTTGTACATTACGTTGTAGAATTCATACGTTGAATTAAAAATTAACGTAATAAAGTGTTGAAATTTTGAGGATATACCCCGATTATAACATAATTTCATGTATTTTCTTATTGCATAATTGATTGAGCTAATAGTCAAAGTACCTGGCCACAGAGTAACTTTATATCTTACTTTTATGTATTCTACTTGACATCGATTATTTATGCAGGTTGAATGTTAAACAACTACAAACCGACACAAATAAGTTTGCGTCTGAGACAGCTCCGCCTACAAACGCGTACTGGACACCGCAAAGAAGGTTCAAATAGCCGCGCGTACGTCTTATTCCTTCTAGCCGAATACCTTCTTCCTCAATCTTGCGCAGCTCTACCTTAGTGAGAAACAGAAACTGATTTGTATAGAATATGTAGTTAACAGTTTTTTTTACAAAATGTTAATAAAAAAAGACAAAATTAAAACAGATGTGCATGACTTTTTAATAGACAACGTGTTGTGGACCTCTGACTTCATTGTACCAATATTCATAGAATGCACTGTTGTTGGTGTTATTCAGAACTCTTAAGCTGTACCTTGTTATATGAAATTAATAAATAATAAGCATGATTTTAAACGATACAACAAAGAAACTTTTGAAGGTTTTCCATAAAAATTTGTCCTGTCCTTGCTATTCTTTTTTCACCAATAAATCATTTGTGTGTATAAATATTGAATTTTTACTGAGTGACAAATTAATTGTATACGCCAAAGAAATATCTGTTCGACTTTACGAACATCACTGGGACATTGGGGCATATCCCACCATAACTAAGCATATCTTTAGATCAAGTTTGTGTTATTTGAGTTACTTTGGAAAATACATTTAGATAATGGACATTATCATTTCATCATTTTAATTATTCATTAATTTCAATAAATGAAAATTCGTATAGGTACTTGTATACTTTTTATTTATTTTTTGGGCACTTGCATATTCTGTTAAATACAAAAGAAGAAATGTTTTCTTGAAAATTTAGGCTAAAAAGTTTTATGCCTTTGAGAAGTTCTTGTGAAACCATTTTAACTCTGGAGTATTTCATTCTAGACACTTTCTAAATATTGAACATAAAAAAAAACTGAAAACAACAGTATTTCCAGCAGGTCCAAATACGCAGGAACTTATAAATGTTTCTACCTTAGAATTTTGGATACTACATAATAAAATTTTTTTTCTTGGACATTTTCACTGAAGAACCTACGAACCTTTGATTAAAACAATTTCATTTATATTTCGACCTTGCTAAATTCATTTCTGATATTTGTTTTTATTTGTTAAACTTTGAGGGCAAGGTGATACGTGATTTTTTTTTCAGATTATTTCTAGGGCGAATTTAATTGTCTCGTGCCCTATACACTTTTCTTAAGTATCTATTTCTATTCTTACCCCGTATTGTATAAATTATTGTTTCAACTATTCTTATACATATTTTTAGAGAACATAATCTTTAAACTTACCCAATACTGAATTCGGTTTTTATTCAGAAATTCACTACGACCCGAAACACAAAATGAATCGCATGTATTATATTTTCTGTACTTCAAGCGGATGCTAGCTGTTGGGGGCACTATTCATAATAGGAGAGAAGGGATCTCTTATCTCGTTTTACATTTGAAACTCACTACAAAATGCATACCATTGCCGGATGTCGGATGCGTAGCCCGCACAATGCAAGACAGATGGAATCTGGGTTTAAAGGTTATACTTAAGATTAGGTCATTATCCAACGGCAAATAACTTTTATGATGAATTTCTGTACAATTGAGATAGTACCTAATGCTTTATGTGCTTATTATTTGTTATCGTGGTTTAATGGCTTTGGAGATAAGACAGTTACTATTAAATATTACATTAAAAATTAATTAATAGGGTAGTAAGTAGATCTATCTCTCTATTTTTAATAAGTTGTTTCACAACATCTTTGTAGAAATGATCCCTGTTTTCTTGGAAATATTAAGAATTGCACACTACTTAATTTTAATGGATTTCAGTTTAAAAACACTGTTTTTCTTGGTTTGGTTTGGTTAGTTGGAAACTAAATGGGGACGAAAGTAGCAACGTCCGTATCTTGAAAAATAACCATCTAAATCGAATAGTTTTTATCAGGTTTTGTCTGCTTATTGTTTCTCTATCCATAATAGTTGAGCTTAATCCATCAGTAAGGGTAGTAATATAGAGGGTGTTAGGCAGATAGTATGGAATACTGACAAGAATGTAAGAGGAAAGTAGCATAAAAAAAGAATAAAGTTATAACTACTACAATAAATGCCTTGTCAAATAATACTATATTTTAGTTTAGTGCTATAATTTGTATACATCCTACCTTTCGTTTAAAAAATTATCTTTTGGTTTACATGCGGAACACCCTCTGTTAAGTATTCTATATTTTAAAATTAAAAAAGAGGCAATTCTGGTTTCAATATTTCTAATTTAAGAAGAAAAAATAAAAGACAAATTCTGAAACATTTTCGGGAAAGGTCGAAAATAAATGACAAAACGGGATTCTAATATTTTTGGAGGATGACACTAACTGATTTCGAAACTTTTATTGAAATGTTCGACAATTTATGCCCATACAAAATACACAACACAGAATTGAAATGCTCTGAATTTGCCCTTTTTGGAAAACAAACATATCCATTCGCAAATGTTTGTGTTTCAAACTTTTGATTTTCATCATCGATGGAAAACAAAAAAACAGATGCGTTTGTATGAATATGTTCATAAATGTTTAAAAACAGTTTTGTACAGCTGTTTTTATACAGCTTTTACTTATGTTTTTGTATGTTCACGGTATGTAGACTTGGACTAGACTTTAGTCGTATTTTCTATAGTTGTCATTATTGCCCGAAGAAGGAAAATGTTACGAACGCATATTATCACCATACATCAATTTTATAGGAGTTGTAGGTTTAAAAATATACTCTTTATAACACCAAAATGTGTAGATTGGAAACATCCCAAAAATAATCAAAATAGATTAATAGGTAATTAATAGGTATTCGAGTTATTTACAAAATTTCAAAAAATTTCACCAACTGTGAGGCTATCTAGCGGCGAAACTAAGCGATTTTGGATATAGGTGAATTAACCTAGATCTGCCTATTTTGAGTCCACGAATCTGTGGTCTTCCATTGTACACGTTATTCTGGGACACCCTGTATAAGTAGAAACTGTGCTAAAATGGTATATATTTTTAATATCGGTACTTTTTCTGTGTCTAATTAAACAAACCTCATTTTAAAACGGTCGAATCAAAAAAATAATATTTGTGTGATATTCAAATAATCCTAAAAACTTGCCTATAACCGTGTCCTAACAATAACTTTTAAATAAAGGAAAAAACAAAAGAGTCGAGATTTAAGGAATATTGTTCTTCCTTTTTTTTGTTATATATTTTACACAGAACAATCTTCCGCTGATAAATCATGTAAGAATTATAGACTTTGAACCAGAACTGTTACTTTCGTTAGTGATCTCCTCTACTTATGTAAAGTTGTGGACAATAAAAATTTTCAACCCAAACCACTTTAACATTTTCGACTTTACGTTCTAGGTAGGAAACCTTTTTTGTCTACGACTGTAGGTACTTACTCTGGCAATCTAAAATCGGCAGTGAAATGTTCCAGTAAGCACCTAAGCATCTAAGGCTCTTTGTTCGTTTACCAGTATCAGGAAAATAATATCCAACACAGCAACTGAATATCGCTAGTTCATCGGTCCTGTAAAAAAATTAAAATATCCAAATGAAAACCTGGAATACCTCGACTAGAAGTTAAAAGTGCGTTGATGCTAACAACTGCTGGGAGAATATTTCGAGAACAGAACACTTAAATGGCTGGCAACTGTTAGGTTTGAGAAAATGGATTCCAATAGATACAGAACCTTCAGAAAGATTACAAGCCACGTGACTAGTAATTTTGTTTGGAACAGTAATTTTATTTCTTTCACGTTTTATTTAATTATTAAAACAATAAGATCAAGATTACATTCTCTTTCACCGGCTGGTGTTTAGTATATTTTTTCACGAAAATTTGTTCAACCAATCAGCGATCGCGTTATCTTGTTCGTATACATATCGGTTTGTCAATTTTCATTGTAAATTAATCATTTCTATTGGTAAGGCTAAGATTTAGGGATTTTTAGTTGACAGTACCAGTCGTGCAGTGTTGGTTGTCTATAATCTCGGCGATCACGTGGCTTTTAATCAATTATGAAGGCTCTGTGCATATTGATGGGATAAATTGTAGTTGTAACTGCTATCCGTGTAATTTTGATTGCAAAATAGACACAGAAAGTAGTTCTATTAACGACTACTACAAAGTTTTGATTTCAAAATTTTTATCTGGATTATTATGTAGAAGGGCGGCACAATATGAGACCTTGATAAGTTTTGCCATCTATCCTAATTTTGACTTTGAGTGAATACGAATCTAAAGTTGCTTTAAGACGATCGAAAACATACTCTGAAATTTTGAAAAATTTCCTAAGCTAAGCTGTTCCATATTCTAATTTTGATCTGAAAATATATCTAACTTTGATCTGAAAATAAACCTAACATTGTCTGTATACCTAACATTGTCCTGTGGTGATTAGATCAGTAATTACATAGATATCTTTTCTCAGAAAGGAAAGTGTAGTTTAGGAACTTTGGTTAGGTTAAGTTTAATTCTATTGTCTCAAAACAACTTCATATTCGTTCATATTGTTTTCTGATATTGAATATCTAATTTTCCAATTTTTCAAAGAACTTTAGATTTGAATTCAGGAGGTCATAATTAGGATTTACACAAAGAAAGTGTGAAGCTCTGAAGTTGTGACATTCTTCTATATACTCTTCTATTTAATTTATAATGGTATCTTTGCCAAACTAAAATATAACCAAAAATTAGAATTTTGTGGTATTTCCAAATATTTACCGAATATTTCCAAACTTAAACTTTCTAGTCCCGCAAAAGCATTTTTCGGATGCTGTCAGTTACAGACAAATTTTATAGGTCAAGAATACGTCATTCCGTCAAAATGTGATAAAATAATTTGAAACTGATATACAGGGTGTGCCATTTAACACTTCCGCTGCCAATATCTCCGAAATGAAGAAATTTATTTTAGTTCCGGAAACTGGGGTTGTTAGGTAGGTCCCTCGAATAGCTTCAAATTGGAGTTAGAATTGTTAGTTCAAATTTTTCTGTATAGATGGCGTGGCAATACTAAAAAATTTTTTGTTCCCTGGAACGTGGAAATGCAGTCCATCTCTAAGATCGTTAAATTTTGAGTGATTTTTGTAATATAAAGTATTTCCCTACTTTTACTGGTTTTCGAGATATGTCGACTTCAATATGCAATGAATGATATACCAGGAAAATCTATTATATTATTTAAATCACACTGAGACAAAATATTCTTTTAAAATAGTGTTATAATGGCTTTATTCACATCATATATTAACTAACAAACAATAAATTATTTAAAAAAACGAATGGTCAACTACAGAAAAAAAAAATGTACAATGGTAAATCTTATAAGGGCATTTTATCAAATGTTATTAAAAAATGCATAGGTGGCTCATGTCATTTGTTTAAAATAAAATAATGACAGATGACACATACATATTAGTTTTCCAATAATTACAGTTTTATAGGATAAACTTATAGGATTTACCATTGTACAATTTTTTTTTCTGTAGTTGATCATTTGTTTTTTGATAATTAATGTTTGTTAGTTAGTATGTGGTGTGAATAAAGTCATTATGACAATATTTTAAAAGAATATTTTGTCCCGGTGTGATTTAGATAAAATAACAGATTTTCCTGTTATCATACATTGCATATTGAAGTCGACATATCTCGAAAAAAGTAAATATAGGGAAAATTATATTACAAAAATTATATTACAAAAATTACTCAAAATTTAACGATCTTTCAGATGGTCTGCCACGTTCCAGGGATAAAAAAATTGTTTAATATCGCCACGCCATCTATACAGAAAGATTTGAACTAACAGTTCTAACTACAATTTGAAGCTATTCGAGGGACCCAACAACCCCAATTTCCGGAACTAAAATAAATTTCTTCATTTCGGAGATATTGGCAGCGGGAGTGTTAAATGGTACACCCTGTATATTGTAGTATTCACACTGTTTAACGATTTAACTATTTGGATATCTATATACAGCGTATCCCACAATAACACGGAAGGCCACAAATTCATGGACTCAAAATAGGCAGATTTATTTAATTCACCTACATCCAAAATCACTTCGTTTGGCCGCTAGATGGCCTCAAAGTTCGTGAAATTTGGGGCCATCTAGCGGCCAAACGAAGGGATTTAGGATATAGGTAAATTTGCCTAAATCTGCCTATTTCGAGTCTGCGAATCTTTCGTTGTACACGTTATTCTGGGACACCCTGTATAGACTTGTTTCGAATGTGAGTGAGATATAACCTGTATACCTAGTGGCGCTGCTTTGATAAAAATAACATATTAATTTGTAGGTGCTATGAAAGCATGACTATCATTGCGCTATGCGGAATTCCTAAACCGGTCTATATTTGGTGATTCTACTGACGAATCATTTTAACTATTAATTAGATATTGGGGATGTAATTCAATGCCAAGGGGACCATATACAATACCATTACTTTTTCGTAGCACCTACAGATTAATATGTTACTTTATGCCAGAAAGTACAAAGTAATGATAAATTTATGAGGGTTTTAGAGGTTCCATCTGTCAAAAGGAAATTACGTGACTTCAGAAGGTCTTTTGTTTTATATAGATTTCGCTGATTTCAGATCCTAATGCATTTTTCAAAGTGTAAGTACACATCTTCAACTACTCCATTTCTGAAGAACTATATTGTCTTAAGGAATTGATAATGCAAAAATTGTTAATTTTTAAATTTTGCCGCAATGTGACTGTTACACCATGAACAAATAAAATCACCTGTATACCAAGTATCCATCCTGTGGAAGGTTTGGCATAGGACATCCAACGGCAGTGTAATGCATTAAAAAACCTCTTAGTGGGTTGAAGTAGTCCCTTGAAGTCAACACTACCTCAATGGATTCACTCCCCGAGATCACCTTAGCTGGAGGATTTTGTTGGCGACAAGTTGAGTATATCACTTGGCCGGTGTCTTTGATCTGGAGGATATCTGTGCATTCCTCTTCGGAACTCACATTATCCACTGGAAGAAGAAGTTGTTTAACTCTTTAGGTAGGTACGCATCAAAACATAAAGGAAATTGTATCTTAAGTTAGTTTTTGATTATTGTCAAAATGCCAAACACAAAAATTTACGTTTTATATTACAATCACAGAAAGAATAACTTAACTGGTAAAATATTTTTGATGGTTTAAAACTAATTCCAATTCGTTGCAACAGATTTTTGATGAAAGGTATAGACAACTCAAACACGACGAATTTCGATTTAGAATGTACGAAAAACCAAATGGAATTCAAAATTGGAAACTTTTATTAATAGATTTTAGAAACATATGGGTACAAGATGTTTTACTTTTAACTGCAATTTGTAGGTGCAATAATAATATAGACAGTACATTTACATTTAAAAGATATAAATCTACGTTGGATATCAGCACAACGCTTCCATTCTGTCTCGCGAAGATTTGTTTATCTGTTATAGAGAACACAAGGCATAGTCTTTCCGAAGTCATTTGACATGCATAAAAACTCCTAGCAATAAAATTTAGTGAGTTTCATAGACGTCCCTAAAAAAATTTTCTGCTAAAGGTAAAAAATGATTATAAATTGTATATAATGTATAGAAAATTTATATTATATGTTCATTCGGCCAACAACATATTTTAATTATTTATGTCCTCAAACAATTTTATTACACAACATTGCGATCCCATCATCATTGTAGCTTTCTTTTTTATATTTATGTTTATATGTTATTGATTTTTTGCGCTTATCTATTGTCGGAAATTTTGTTAAATACGCTTTTCATTCTCCTTACAATAGACATCCATAAGAAATTAATAAGCTACAAAGGGAACCATCAGGATTAGTTTCCCAGAACCGCAATGATAGAACTAAAAAGTTCATAATTCACGATAAAATCCTCTTGCAAAAAGTTCTCGCAATAAAATTTTTATAGAATTAAGACATTCATTAAATTAATAAGGTTAGGTGTAATTTTACATGTTATAACTTTTAAACTTTTGAAAATAAAAGTTTTATCTAGCCATTAAATGCACAATCTAAAAATATTTTATGTTATACGAAAGAAAAAAATATATATTACATGCTGGAAAATAATTAATTTTTCAAAATTCAACGCAAGCAACAAGTTTTGCCCAATTGTGCGAAAATTTTTTAAAATAACTACTTCACTATTTTATTTTGTGCTAGCTTAAATACTAGCACTAATATTTCTCCTATTTTTTGTGCCTTTTTTGTTTATTATTAACACAAATAAGTTTCTACGTGTACTCCTGTGGCGGCAATAAAGATTTTAATTTTATAAAATTTATCTTATCTTAAAAATTAAGTTGTTGCTTATGATGAATTAATGATGCAGAAATTAAAAGCAATTTTAGGACGCCCTCTATATGTGATTCTTACCTGACATAGTTCTAATTGTTTCTTTGTACAAGACAATATGTATATAGTACAGACGGTATCTGTTTCAAAAAGCCATATTTGGGTGAATCGTATATCCATGGAGATTTTTGGCTTTTTGGCTTTCAAATGTCACTAGAAATGAAAATGTTTCTATGCGCATAAAAAAAACGTGGGCTTAACTTTTAGCGGCACAAAATGTTAAAAAAATTCGAAAAATGTCATATTTTTCTTCCTATTTAATTATGTATCTCTTCAAGAGTTGATTTTAGGCGAAAATGGAAGAAGAAAAGAATGTTTGTAATTAAATTTTTACAAAATGTGACAAGTTACAAATCGAATGAATCATGATTATTATGGTAAAAATCGAAAAAATCGCAAAAATGGGGTTAAAAAACAATACTTTTTAGGGAATTTTTTTGGGGTATTTAAATTGGGTATAGGACCTTTATACTTGGCTCAAGAAAACTTCATGTTATGTAGAATCATCACACCAAATTTCATCAAAATCGGTTCGATAGATTTTGCATAATAATTTTGCAATCCAGATTTTGAAAAAAAAATTGCAAATTTTCAAAATTTTGCACAGCAAAAACCAAGGCCCTTAGATACTTGAAAATTTAATCACATATAGAAGGGCTCTCAAGCTTTCAAACTTTTTTTGAAAAATTCGAATCCGTCAATTAGGAGAGCTCTGGCGCTTGTTTAAACATTGGTCGAATTTTTGTACTTATAAACAATTAGAATAACTTTGTGAATATTCAATCAAATCAAATTTTTTAAAGCAGGTTTTAAAAGTTCTTGGAAAGACGCTTTTTTAAAAAAAAATAAGAAAAATTTACAAATAATTCTTTCCGGTGTTGCCAGATTTCTGCAGTAGCTACTAAAACGATATTTTTTTAAATGGCAACACCGGAAAAAATTATTTGTAAATTTTTCTTAATCAAGTTATTTCCTACAACTTTGCATTTGGAAGTACTAGTCTATTACTTCAAATAAAAAAGTTGGCCTATGTCAGGTTTTAAAAAAATAACACTGTATATACAGGTTGTAGAGATTCTTTTCCTAACGGTATATACGTGTATCTATTTTTTTCAAGGTCGTATTTTTCGAATACGAAATAATATATTGAAATGAAAGAAAGATTATTTTTTTAATATTATTTTTTTTTGTGATTAAAGTATAATTCAAATATTATTTATTGTTTAAAATATAAGCAAATGAGAAATTAACTCATTATATTACTAATTTTCGTCATATTTTGAAAATAATTGTTGTTTAAACAATTTCAGAATATTTAAATAAATTTGTTTTTGATCTTTGATAAACAGTATATAAGTTTATGCACTTACCTTTGATACAATAGAAAAATAAAGTTGATAAGTAAAGGAAGTTTAAAGATAAATAATTATCGGACTGTTGTAAGACCAATAATTATTAACGATAGACATTTGAAAATGCGCTAAAATTACAAAAAAATCATCAAAATCGGACCTCTAGAAGGTGAGATATTAAAAATTTTTAAGCGCATCGCGGTGAACTCGCCGATTCAATTTCGAGCAGACCGAAGCGGCCGCGCTCTCTGCTTCCCCACTACCACCACCCGTACGATTTTCTTGAATTTCTCGCTTGCATAAATAACTTTAAACACGTTTTAAATAAGGTTGCCAATGAAGAAAAGTATTGTAATCTTAGACCTGGTAAGTACTCGGAATACCAAAGGTATTTTTCGAAAAATTAGCCCGGATGTCCCAGTACATTTAGTGTAAATGACGGTTAACTTGGATCGGCTATAACTACGTAACTAATTGATCAATCGATCTGTTTTTTTTAAGAAGCATTTTTCCAAGAACTTTTAAAACCTACTTTAAAAAATTTGATTTCATTGAATATTCATAAAGTTATATACGATTCACTCAAATCAAAAGAGATACCGCCTAGTCTAATATGTTGACCAACATAAAACTTAATTTTTGTACAATGAAATGAAGAAAAGTTTTTTCTTAATCAACCCCTTTCGCAAACACATTGTATATAATATATTTATAAGAAATATACTTTTAACTAGTTTGGACAAGTTGCACAAAAAACGTTATAGCTTCTTTTTGTATTGTGAATTCAGAGAAACTTGTCCATGATTTGTTAATTAATTAATTGTTTTGGAATCCCAAGATAAAAGGAGATGTACTTTCGAAATTTTCAGTTGCAATGTGAAGCAATCTCTTTGAAATTGTTTACATGTGTAAAGATAAAAAAAACATTAAAATAAAATAAATGATAAAAAAAATAAAATAATAAAAAATGTAAAAAATTGAAAAAACAAAACAGTATAAAAACGTATAATAAAGAATAGTAGAAATGATATTATGAAAATAAAAAAGAAATTAATAACAAAATAATAATATATTAGATGACATTTAATTAACAAATTTAAGAATTAGTCCATAAAATAAATAAACAAACAAACAAACCAAACCTCTAGGGTGAGGTCATCTCCTAATGACTGAATGATTCGAGCGTACCTTCCTGACCCCTATAAGTCATGGCTAGAGCTTACCAATAACAGATATATCCAGGATGGTTAGCCGGATTCTCTGCTGGGAGGGGGCCGTTATCTTCCAGCGGCACTCCCGTTGTCCCGAGTAAAACCTGGGATAACCGGGATTCTGGATGAATCCCTCCGATATTCCCGTTGTGAACTTGCTCGGCAGCACTATTTCACTGTTGCAGTACTTCTTAATCCTGTCTTCTGGAAACAAATATATCTTGTTTAGGGAGGCATTAAACGGGATGAGATTTTATCGGAACTTCGGAAAAGGTTACAGAGAGATTAAAAACAAACTTCGAGCTGATAGCCAAGTGCAATAATTTCTGGCTGACAGTTTAATACAGGCTTCGTATTTTAAACTGAATTTGCAGGAGCTGGTTTTGATATTAAGATGATTTATCTTTCAAGAGAGAATTAAAGATAATTTCAACATTGATTTAATTAAAATCTTACATTAAATAATGCAATAAGCCGCACCCTCACCCGCACCCTATTAATGTATACTTATTGGCAATAAGTATACATTAATGGCAGGCTACAGGGTGCTGCAACTACAAACTATTGCAGATACAGGGTGGCTCAAAGTACAAAGGACTTGCACAATATTTTGCTGAAACATTTCATCAATTCATATCTGCGGTATTTGAGTTAGTTTTGTTAGTTTGAGTTTTAGTTTTTTTTCTGTTGATTTTTGTATTTTACCAGCTGTAACAAAAATTAAAAAAAATAATAATAAACCCTTACGCCAAACAGAACAGTCAAGGTTTCCAAACAAAAATCTTACAATGAAAGAAGTAGACAAAAAAAGATGTACAAACTATGATCATACACTTTGTTTAATTTATCGTTTCGAAAATCTGTGTTTTCGTTTTCAACACTGCAAATGACCTTTCTTGTGTGAAGTCTGTAAAAAATTAAAGTCTGTAAATCTACGTATTTGAAAAAGAATCTCGCTCATTATTTTATAAATGAAAACCGATTGATTTTTCGAAACATTATCTAATTGTAAGTGGAGTGCATAACATAGTTATGTGTTTTTTATTCGTTTTTATTTAGTGTGAAATTTTTTCGTTTAAATTTGAAAAAATGGACTACTATATGTTAATTTTTCACTCCTCCAGTTTTTAATGTCTTGGCTAATCTTTACGAATCGGATGAGGAGTAGAAATATTGTTATTATCATTACTAGAGCTCGGGACTCGGTCGGATGATCATAGCCGTCGCGTCGACCTTTCGCTACAGCAGCGTCACGTAGAAAACGGTAATAACGGCAGTTATTGGCTGTGCTTAGATTTCATTCTGTAAAGTTTTGGTTATAAATTGCTGTTCGTTATTTACAAAATTATGAACGTGATTAATTTTTTTATTAAACTGTGTTACTGAAAATGATCAGCATTTTCAATAATGGAGGTGAAAGGAGACCCAATTACAAGTTTTTAAAATGCATAAAGTATTATTTCGTTTTTATTATCAAATAGATAAAAAAATTTATGATAACTAAATCATTGAGCATGATAAGTGATAACTAATGCACTTCTGATGATGACTAATATAATTACGCAAAAACGATTAGAGGTACAGAAAACTTACAAGAAAGAAAAAATCCCTTACCTTCATGATAAATCTAGAAGTACTAGTAACAAATCGAAATTTCATTTAAATCGGACAAAGCATTCCAGAGTTGTTTGGAAAATACCAGAAATTTTTGACAAATTTGTCGCCTTCTAGTGGCTAAACTAAGCAACTTTGTATAGAGATAAGTTTAGTTAAAATGCCTTATTTTGAGAAACAAAATTTGATCATTTTTGTCTAATATTTTGAAGATTTGTTTTCAGCATTTCCAAGAATATTACTTGATTGTTGTTAATTTGGACTCGTTGAAAAGTCTAAGAGGAAAAACTAGTTAAAGGTCTCCCAAAAGTAACGCAGGATTTGAATTGTACGCCATTTTCATTCTGATGAGTTGGCAAAATTGTGCAGTATTACATGTTGTAATTTTGCTTTGTTTTTTAATTGTCTGCAACCAAACCTGTTTGTTTAAATTTGACAACCAATCTTTTCACAGTTGTTTCATTCGGGGCGTTCCTTCAACCAAAAATTCCAAGTAATTTGGGCACAATCTCAACTACACACTCGTAATGCGTAATGTAATGAATTTTCAGAATCTTCACTCACTCATCCGTTGTATAGCGCTCAATTTTGCCTAAACGTAACGTGTGTACTACAACATGTGCACAGTGCTGCCAACTCTTCGGAATGTAAATGGCGCGGTACTTTTAGGACACCCTATACAAACAGATCTGAAATATATGTTAAAATATTTATATAAAATATTTATATTTATTGGACACTTAAATATCTTAAATATCTTAAATATCTTAAATATCTTANTATAATTAAACCATACATCCCCTCTACAAAGTTAGTAGCCAGTGCCTTCCGGTCAATAAAAAATAAATACACACAACGTAGGTATATATTCCTTATGACGATCACATGTTTTGGCCACAACTGCGTTTATTTGTTTTTTTTCTAACGAACCTGGGGTATGTTAAACTACAGTACACATGTTGCAAGTGACCCATATTTGAAAGCACAACGTCAAAAATGCCGCCGGACGCACCACGGGGTTCCCGGAAGCCGACCCCTGTAGAGTGGCGCCAGAACCAGGGACTTCTGCCACCGATTACCTACAGCCGAATGACAGACAGAAGGCACTCTGCAACGAACATTCACCCTGTTAACACGTCTTTTCATACACAAGTTTTCTGTACACCAGTTTTCAATAAAATTCTTTATTAGTACCGTTGAGAGAGCGTTTATTTTTTGCTGTACAGCGAAAGCAACCCTGAATATTATATAATGAATAAGGACAAAAAAGTACGTGAATGACATGCTTAAGAAAAAATAAAGTTTGTCCATAACAAATAACTTCAAATAATGTTGTCCGCTGTGCTTGTTCGTTGTGACCAATATGTGAAACACAGTACTGCCAAGTACAACTATTCTACAGGGTGTCCCGGTACTTGATACAAAGTTGAGTACAGATAGATGAGGTCAAAATAATATCAGTTCTTCATATAAGTTTTTTTTCATACGGACATTCGTTAACAAGTTACGGCCCCCCTAAGGTGAAAAAAAAGTTATTTTTATTTAGTCTCTAAACCATTAACTTCAGCATGATGCAAATTTGGTGATCGATAACACATGCGTACAGCTTGTTTTTGATGTTGTTGTAAGTGAAACTTCTTTATGCCCAGAACGCCAGGGACGGACTATGCTCAGTGGTTAACTAGCCAGAATTTTTGCATAGATGACGATTGCAATCTGCCTGGATAAAAAATAAGCTCCCTGAAGAATTTACCAACGATAATACCTACCCTCTTTATTCAACTCGGTAAAATTAACAGTTTAGAGAATATTTGGGATTTTATGTCACAGTGCACATCGAGCGGCGCCTCCACCATTTTTTGTTTTTAATTTTTAACTATATGTACATTTATTAACCATATCTTTATCGTTTCGAGGATAGCCATNGATACGCTTAGGTATGCGGGCCGCTGTATTTGATTCTTCCTAAAATTCTGCTGGTGGTGTATTCTACCAGCAATTCGGAAATTTAAAATTGCTGGCCTATTCCAGGAGCGGTCTGTGGCGATAGCTATTTTGTCTGTGGTACTGCAAAGTACAACTATTCTACAGGGTGTCTCGGTACTTGATACAAAAAGTCGAGTACAGATAGATGAGGTCAAAATAATATCAGTTCTTCATATGTTTTTTTCATACGGACCTTCGTTAACAAGTTACGGGCCCCCAAAGGTGAAAATTAAAGTTATTTTTATTTAGTCTCTAAACCATTAACTTCAGCATGATGCAAATTTGGTGATCGATAACACATGCATACAGCTTGTTTTTGATGTCGTTGTAAGTGAAACTTCATTATGCCCAGAACGCCAGGGACGGACTATGCTCAATGGTTAACTACCCAGAATTTTTGCATAGATGACGATTGCAATCTGCCTGGACAAAACATAAGAATTTACCAACGATAATATCTACCCTCTTTATTCAACTCGGTAAAATTAACAGTTTAGAGAATATTTGGGATTTTATGTCACAGTGCACATCGAGCGGCGCCTCCACCATTTTTTGTTTTTAATTTTTAACTATATGTACATTTATTAACTATATCTTTATCGTTTCAAGGATAGCCATNTAAATATCTTAAATATCTTAAATATCTTAAATATCTTAAATATCTTAAATATCTTAAATATCTTTTTGTTCTCAAAGACAAAAAAATATGACGGAGAATGCATTTTTATGGCATTATAATAATATCCAGAGGTCGTTCTAAAAGTTATTACAGGAAATCTGTTCCAAAATTATTGCGAATGGTGATGAAATGGTAATTTTTAGAATATTTAGTTCAATTACTGAGTAATTAAGAAGAATAATGGTAATTAACGCACCTTTGAAGTGACAAGTTTTTATATAAACCTACATACTCATTAAGAAATGTAATGTTCGAAATATAATTATTATAATTCGGTAGGTTTCAAGTTTCAAGTAGGGTTGAGAAGGGTACTTCAGTCCATATTTCTTAGCACTTTTATTTACTATCATTTTCAGTTTCAAAGAAAATAAATGAACTGATACCCTCAATATATCAACTCTCCACCCTGTGAAGCTTGCAAGGTGAGACTTGCAGTTTTATTTTACAGAGGATTAATAGAATAATGCTGACACTTTTGCAGTTGGATCGCAACACAATACGCCTCTGACAATGGGAATTGATGCGGAATTCGGAATATTATCCGTGAGATTGAGGTGGCACCATGTACGTCCCTTTTCATTTCCTTTTACCTTACCCCACGTACACAAAAGGCGGAAATTTCGGCCGCGGCATGATGGATTAGTTACAATATGGCTTATTATTCTGCTGGCAGACGCAGCAACGGTAGCAGCCCGTGTTTTGTTTGACGAATCGTGTTGAACATATATTTCGATGTGTCTCCACGCGGCGGCTTCGTTAGCGCCAAATGGAATCAATTTATAAAATATTGACATGAAATTGAATAAAAAAGTTTCTGTTCCTTTCACGGATATTGGTTAATTCGCGAACATTGGAATATGTTTTTCTTTGTTTTCACCTTTTGTATAACGGGTGTTCCACCTAAGAGGGATTCTTCTGTAACTCTGTAACTGTAAAATTTATAAAAAAAAATGGTTTATACAGTTGTCTGGAATCATGTGGGCCATATAGAGAAAATATTTTTAGCTTCTCAGGGTGTTCCATTTCGCGAGGACGCTACATAACTTTGTCATTTTAAATGAAACACCCTGTATATTATTGCATTTTTGAAATCCTTGGTTAATATTAGGTAGAGTTTATTGAATGTACATCGTGTTCAAAACTTACCGATTTCGATATAATCAATTGTTTTTGAAAAAATCACGATTTCAGCTCTCTAAAAATGAGGCTATATAGCGTCTATACCATAAGAGTTTGAAATCTGCAGTTTTCACAGTTCGTTTTGGCATAAGTTACTCTATCTTGTCATCTGTGAGCAAAACGTGTACGTTTTCAGACTCGGAAATACTGACACCTACAATTAATAATCTTACGAGTTGAAAGACTTTTCTTTTCAAATGAAACGACCCATGTTAATTGACATGGGTGAATGCAAAATTAAATAGCCTTTCGACTGATATGAGGCTGACCACACTTATCTCTAACAGTTTTCCAGAAAAAGCAGGTTCTTTTCTAAAGTCCGAAAAAGTAACTATGTCAACAGCGTCAAGAAGGCCTTGCAAAACCACTTTTCTGTCACATTTTATCAGGTCCGGGACTGACAGTATCATTATTTACTGGCATGTTTAAAAAGTGGTTTGACAAATAAAGTAAACCACTAACAACAACTAAAACAAAACGCAAAACGAAACAAACTGAAACTCGGAACACAACAAGGAGAAGAATCAACCGCTGATTTACATCAATTGCTCGAAGTGTCCTCCATTTTGATTAATACACAAATGAATTCGTTTTTTAAAATATTGTTTAACATTGGTCAGCATGTCTGGTGTAATTTCTTGAAATGCTACTGTAATGCGTCACATATCTTCTGCGGTAGTTGGTGAATTAGTTGGTTATAATTAACATAATTAACATTCATATAGTAGAAATATGTGGTAAACTTTACTAAACGTTTAAGTAATCATAGAAACCAGACAAATTATTTATTGAATATTTTGTCACCTGCGAAAAATAAAAAAAATCGATTAAATAAACCCTTACGCCCAAAGAGTGATAATAATAAATAATTTACTTTTTTGGCGTACCAATAAAAGTTTTTGAGCAATGGAAAATAAATGAATAAAAACAATTAGTAAGTGTCAACCTACCTATACCTATTTGAAAAATAAATCACTTCGACGGCTTCTATCTCAAAAATTAAGTAGGGTTTCACTACAAATGGGAGTTCGAAAACGAAACATTTGGGCCTACATGATTACAGGAATGTTTTTTGTTTATTTTGTGACAAAGAACCATCTACTAAAGCTTAGGATAGCATTTTGATTACACCCTATAAATTAAAAACCTTATGCATGTATTAGGGTGTACATTATTTCATCTGGAATAATGATTTATAGATTATTTTCTAGAAAATAACAATTCAAATACGCCCTCTCCAATTCACTTTAAGCGTTAAAACATACTCTTTAATAAATCTACTACAAAGAGAATACAATTATCATTATTCTTCCAACAGAATGTTATGGCAACACAAACTGTCATAACAATAATATCCTGTGTATTTTAAGAAAAATATATGCACTGTATTATTTTTAGAACAGAAAAATATTATTTTTCAAGAAGCGATCTAAACCAATCAGTGGATTCATGAAAAGTATACATAATATGTGAAGGCCATCATTATAAAATGTTGTTTGTCTAAACTAACAGTTAAAAAAAATTAAAACTCACCAGTAACACATGCATATTTTACAAATAAGGTTCCTGGACCCAAATCAGATCCTGGACAGTCTTCTTCTAGAATGAAACTACAGTGGTTAACACCGGAACATCTGTAACAGAAGCTTTGTTAATTATAATTAATTGTTCCTTGAGTTAAGGAGTTGTATAAACGGAAATGGGGTAGTTAATTTGTATGCAAATTTTGGATTCTCTGGGTGATATATTGCTTGAGAATTGTTAAGTATCTTAAATATCTTAAATATTTGTATGCAAATTTTGGATTCTCTGGGTGATATATTGCTTGAGAATTGTGATTCCTGAATTATGTTTTGTCTACTATTTTAGAGTTGGGTGTCCAGTTTAAATAACAGCTCATTTTTAGATTATAGGCGCGACCGCAATCGAAGATTGCATTAATACTATTTCAGTAAATAATACTTATGTATTTGTTGCATTTTTTGTGTAAGCGGTTTCGCAATGGTATTGAATTTTGTCGTTAGTTTAGACAAATTAAGAATAACCAAATTCCTTCCACAGACGATTTTGGACAGTTTTAGATAAACGTGATTTAGCTTATTGTGTCTCTTGAATACCCATACCTTTTCCAATGATTGTCGATGTCCAGTTTCGTTGACAAAAGTTTCTCACTACAAATACTTGCCCCAGCCATAGTGGGAGTGACAGAAAGTGCTATGGGGGCGTACTATCTTCCCTAAATCGCTGCATTTTCACATTTGTTACTTCCCTAACATATGGCTAATTGGGAAAGGCACATGCACCGTGAACTCAGCGTTGACCAGACGTTCAACTGCCTCGGTTATGTGGGAAAAATGCGTAACAATTATTTTAATCAGGGTGGAATAACAGCTTAAAATCTGCACACCCACTGGACGGGGGCTATTAAGTTTGTCGCCCCGGGGTGAATAATGAGTTCCGAATAATGAGCTTATCAAGCGTGACTGCATTGTTTCCTGGAAAATGTTGAAATATAGATTGGGGCTTTACGTGGATATTGTTTCCGGGACGACCCAGATTATGTACTCGTAGGAGGACGTAGGTTTATATGATTATAAAATAATTAGCTCAGATTTTATGCCGAATTGTGGTCTCAGGATTTGTTGTTTTATGATGAAATTAAAATTGAGGTTCGATTAATTAAAAAATAATATGCTGTTTAAATGAGGATCGAAATTATAATCGAGAAATGTATTATATCTCTGCCAATGGCATATTTTTTCAGATATTTTTCGATTTGACAAAAAAAAATTTGCTTTTTTTGACAGTTAAGTGTATGGTGGAATTTCCAAAATATATCAGAAATTATGCCGAAATTAATTTGTACTTTACACATATAAAGTAGTTTCTACAGAGTTGCCGATGGAAAAGAGATTTGTTGTAGTAAAATGCAAAATAATTTCAATTTATTAGTTAGTAGATTACAAAATCGAAAAAAATACAGTTAATATTATATACTGAATAAGGACAAAAAAGTACGTGAATGACATACTTAAGAAAAAATAAAGTTTGTCCATAACAAATAACTTCAAATAATGTTGTCCGCTGTGCTTGTTCGTTGTGACCAATATGTGAAACACAGTACTGCCAAGTACAACTATTCTACAGGGTGTCTCGGTACTTGATACAAAAAGTCGAGTACAGATAGATGAGGTCAAAATAATATCAGTTCTTCATATGTTTTTTTCATACGGACCTTCGTTAACAAGTTACGGGCCCCCAAAGGTGAAAATTAAAGTTATTTTTATTTAGTCTCTAAACCATTAACTTCAGCATGATGCAAATTTGGTGATCGATAACACATGCATACAGCTTGTTTTTGATGTCGTTGTAAGTGAAACTTCATTATGCCCAGAACGCCAGGGACGGACTATGCTCAATGGTTAACTACCCAGAATTTTTGCATAGATGACGATTGCAATCTGCCTGGACAAAACATAAGAATTTACCAACGATAATACCTACCCTCTTTATTCAACTCGGTAAAATTAACAGTTTAGAGAATATTTGGGATTTTATGTCACAGTGCACATCGAGCGGCGCCTCCACCATTTTTTGTTTTTAATTTTTAACTATATGTACATTTATTAACTATATCTTTATCGTTTCAAGGATAGCCATTTTGAATAATTCACGTTCAGGAAGATCATTTGACTTTGATGTAGGTCGTTCGAACATGTTTGATTGCTTGATGATTGATCGATTATTATTTTCGATCCACATTAATCAAGCCAATAAATTAAAAAAAAATTGATATGGTGGATTGTGACCAGTTGATTACAATATATTTGCATTACATTGGCAAAGTTAAAGAAATTAGGTATTTGGGTGGACAATATTTCGAGCGAAAACAGCAAAAATCAGAATTAGAATTTAGTAGATTAAATGATAATATCCCTATTTCTAAATAAAAATGTAATGCCCAGTGATAATGAAAATGCAGAACTTAGTGATAGTGGCATTGTTAATTTAAGGGGGGAAAGTGATATAGATTTAAGATCAGAAAATGAAGAGGATATTTGTTTAAATGATTTTTTCGAAAATCAAGATCAATCTGAAAAAAAATTTGAAAGTGATACCAGAAAAGGAAATCGCGTAAGAAAACAACCTGAACGTTTACAATACTTTTAAAATTATTTTCAGATTTAGGGGGAGGTAATGTAATATATGCATTTTGTAAATAATCTAGAATAAAGTTTAGTTTATTGGGCTCGCTCTGTAAGTTTCTGTCGAGTCCACTATCGTTTTTGTATATATGTTTTTGTGTGTGCAATACCGATATAAAACGGGAAATACTAGCGTTTGTAGAGAGTCTTTATTATAGTAATATATGGGTCAAAATTAAATATTAAAGTGTGTTATTTATACCCTTGAGATATTACATATATCGTCCACAACGTCTACAATTTTTGTCGAAGATTATTGTCGATAATGGAAAATGGAGCATCAGTGCCAAGAACAGTAAATAATGGCTTAGGTAGCCCTAACGATTGCTTGAGCAAAATATTCAAACGCTGATGTGCATCTGGTGAGATAAAAAAGGATTTCCATCCGTTCCTCTTCCCATCGAACAACATTCGAGAAGTCTTCTTTAAAGATAACATCGCGTACAAAAGGGCCTATTCAGAATTCGATTGAGAGAATATTCACCACATCCGCCTTATTATCCTGATCTTTATCCATCATACTTCTATCTCTTCCGTTCTTCATTGAACAACTTTCGAGGAATCTCTTTTATGATATCGCGCTTCTCTTCTTCAATTGGCTTTGTGAAATCCTCACTTTCAAATCACAGAATTTCTTCAGACGTGAAATAGAAAAACTGCCACATCATCGGAATGTAGTCGCACACAATATAAGAGAAGTGATAAGTTCATGTATTTTGTTTCTTATTTCATGCACTCTGTTTAATAAAATAAAATAAATTTTAAATTCAATAACGACCTCTGTGAACTTATGCATCAATCCAATAGTGAGTATCTAAAAAACAGTAACATTTTTGACTTGCTATACTTTTGATCGAAAACAAAACAAATTTTGTTTTGTCTTTGGTTCACAAAGGAAGCATATTATGCATAGACCAGTCCAAAGATATAGTATAGATATATAGATAGTTTTCAAATACAATTACCTACTTACAACAATTCGTAATGCACTTTTTAAATAAACCTCTTCAATTACAAAAAAGAACGCTACTTCAAATGTATCTATATCCGGAACAATAATATTAGCCAATTGTATTATAATTTTTGCCATACTATCCTTTGGCATACATTTTTGCCTGATTTCTTTCCATTTACTAATTTCGATGACATTGGGTAGATTTATTTAGTTTCTACTTATAGTTAACTACTATAAAAGAATTGTAATTAAACTATTTCCGGGTTGGTTGCCACTTCATCAGTTTAGACTTCTTGGTATTTTGAAGAACAAATGGCCCTCTACTTCAAAAGAAACTGAGCTGAACTGATTCCATGCTCTGACTTGTATTTATATTTGCTGTGTTCAATGGCCTATGTCGTTCCAGTACATGGATTGTAATCATTGGTTTTTGTGGATGAGTCGTTTCAAAATGCCATGTAGTGTCCTGTTTCTGACAACTTAAGTGGACGAGTTTGTAAGATTTATAGAAATAGTTTGATACTGCTGCAGAAACAAGTCTAATATTGTGTTTCCTTAAGAAATTTATCATGTCAGTACATCCTTGAATATAATAGAGCAGATAGGTCGTTGCTAGATGTTCCTATTCTTCCTCGTCCTTTCCTTCTGATGGCTCGTTCAATATTCTTTTTCGTGAATATATTTTGTCTAAGAGAAGATCGTATAAATGCCTCGTGTTGACAGATGGACAATACCTTATTCTTGAAATAGGTGATGCCACACATTTTCAGGAAAAATTTGTTGCAACTTTTTGCACCCTGTAAATTACTACATATGTCAAAATAATACATTTTTACTTTTATGTAGGTTTGTCAATCCATTTAAATTTACTGCGTACCGTCGATTAGCTTTATAAGTATGTATGGGAGAAAATGGATATTCCAGATCGATATCAACGAAAAATGCCCCGACCCACGACCTCGAATGGCGCCCTTATCCCAGACCTTGCCCGAGAAAATAACAGACACACGCACAGCCTACTATATTCTTACGGATTGTGCTCCTGACCCAATCGGAATTCCAGAAAACTTGACCTTTTTATGGCTGTTCCAGTTTTGACAATTGATCGAGGCAATAGAAGGACAAAGACAAACATTTGTCAAGGACATCCGATAATAAGTATTTACTTCAAGGTGTTACGATGAATGTTTTCCTTTTTCGATGTCACGGAAAGGAATATGTTAACGTATTTAATTAAATGAGCATCACTAATATTTGCTGTCGCTTGTGGACAAGGACACAATTTTACAAGGACATCTAATAATTCAGAAAATTATTATCATTATAAACAACTTAGTGTTGAAGTTTCAGTAACATTTTAGCAGTACCAAATACTTCCTCCACAATTTTATTCTTTTGAAAGATAATAAAAAAAATCAACTAATCATTGTCAGGACTCTACAGTAACATTTCGTCATGACGACCTGTCAAAAAT